TGACTGAAAAACATTGATCCCGAGTGCAAGCGGCTGAAGTGGGCTTTCTGAGACGCCTCGCTGGCCTGACGTCTCTCGACATGACCTGGAGTACAGAAATCCGCGAGATCTTTGGTATGCAGTCGCTGCTTCTTCAGATTGAGAAGTCACAGCTGCGATGGTTTGACACGATGTGTTACGAATGCCTCCTGAAAAAGATCCAGGGGACGGCCAAAATTAACTGAGTCTGCTCTGGACTGACGAAGCAGACCATTGAGGAGATAATGTCGTACGCAGTGGAATTTAAATAGGATTTAAACTACAATTCCCACTTGGTTTATGGATCAATGTTATGATGTCAGTCAAAGCGAAAAACCAATGAGCCAAATATGATCATTATGGATTATTGATTAAGCTGCTTATTTTTATGTCACGCTGTAGAGTGGATAGTTGTAAAGTTTTAAGTTCCTCATCTGTTTCGTTCCATAGTAGATTCCAGTCGGTCTGAAGCTACTGTTAAACGAAATTTTCTTGTTGCAAACTGCATCTAAGCCAGTGTATAATAGAAAAATTTGGAGATCTAATTGGAATATTTTTTAAATATTGCACATGCACAATTGTATATACGAAGATAGGTGGTGCCACTGAAGACCAGTGGCTCTTGTTGTTATTATAGTTTGATAATTTTAGATTGATTTTGGGTAGTGGTTGTAGCATTAAACGATATAACTCTTAATCAATGCAGTTGAGATTATTAAACGAAATTATTGAATTATTTTATTTCGGCAGTAACTACACTGTTGAATAAATCAGTAGCATAATAGACCTTAGAATAACGAACTTTGAATTAAGTGTAGCATCGGCAATTTCAAAAATAGTTCTTCATAATTATGCAGTACTTAATTCTGCATTTTATGCAACCTCAGTGTTAAACTTAGTAACGCTTCTAGTTACTGAATATAACAATATCATCTTACTTCTTCGGATTGACACGACAGAGTCGCACCGTCCCCTTCTTCAGTGCCTGCGATACCTTTCAACCAGATAACAGTACAAGAGCTATGGTTATTCTAAGCAGCGGTACTGAAAACTAACCGTTTGTTAGTAAGCCCAGAACATCGGGATAAATTTTTATGCGTACTTAATATAACAGTTAAGATGACATATCGAACATGAGCTCTTTATGCGGGAGATGGCAGCGCATAAAATCTTATAAACATTTATATGGATATCCATAATGAATTGTTACCATGAAGACTTTAAATTTTGGACCGAAACGTCAGTACCCATAAAAATTGTTAATTATTAAAAGTTATCTCGTTTGTAACTTAGAGAAATTTTGAAATATAATAAATATAGCGAAAATGAATCATTAAAGTTGCCACAAACATAACAGTATTACTCGATTCTGAGATTATATTGTGTAATAGTGGAAGCTTACATAGAAAAAGAGGAAACAACCTCTCTAAAGACAAATGCCAATGAACTGAGCTTTTGCCAGCTTAATGAATCAGGGCCATTCTCTAGGCAGGTAACGAGTGACTTAACGCTATGGTTGCCATATACCTTCAGAATGTGCTCCTT